GGATCTTCCCTTGTTTATTTGTGTCCATTTTAAAATTTCCTAGTATACACAGGCAATTTTAAATGCCCCAGTTTCCCCCCCAAAAAAAACTGTCTTTCATGCTTTTCTTTCCAGGCTTTTATCATTCTATTGTATGTGTCAACCATAAATGTTTGCTCCAGGCAGCTTCAGTTATTAACGTTACAATGCTTTTGAGGACTACCCATCACTTTTCAAATCTGAGTAAGTTCTGAATTAAGCAAAATATAGACAAGTACCTTGCATTAGTCCTTCAGGTATCCTCCAAACATGTTAGAACAAACAAAGCTCCTTGCAAATAAGATTGTTTATGTTTCTCCAGAATAAGGCACCAAAGTTCCACACTGGTAACAAGAGCTTCCATTTTTTTAAGATTGTCACTGAGCTGGGAGGGGGTGAGGCAAAACACAAATAAAAATGTCACAAAACTTCCCTATTGCCTTTAAGTTGCATTTTTCTTGATTCAGCATTTACTTGGTTGCTGTAAATCTTTGACTATTTTCCAGAGTTTTGACCAAGCTGATTCTAACAGGTTCTGATTGATTTTTTGCTGTTTCTGTGAAGGGAAGGGCCCTTGAAGCTGCCTACTTAGAAACTGTGCTGACACTTCTCCAAGAGCGATTTCGTTTTCACCAAACATTTTATGGGAAGGATAAAAGGTGGTGATCAGTTTAGACTTGGTTGGAAAGGCCCTTGTTAAAGGCTCTGTATGCATTTCCTGTAGCTGCCATGACAAATTACCATAAACTTGGTGGCGTATCACAACATAAATTTATATTCCTATATTTCCGGAAGTCAGCAAAGTACAAAATTTAGGTGTCAGTAAGACTACTCCTTATAGATACTCTTGGGGAAAATTTGTTTCTGGCCTCTTCCAGCTTCTCTTGGTTCCAGGCATTACTTGGCTTTTGGTCACATCACTCCAATATCTGCCTTCAAAGTTACATTGCTTCCTTTCCCTCTTCTGTTTGAAACATCCTTCCGCCTCTATCTTATAAGTATACATGTGATTGTATTTAGGTTCAACCCAGGCAATCCAAGATAAGATTCTCCTCTCAATTTCCTTAACCTAATCATGCCTTTTATCACAATAAATAATATGTATTCTTTTGTCATATTCAGAAATTCTGTGGATTAAGATATGGACATGTTTTTTGGGGAACCACCATTTGGCTCATTACAGGCTCCATTTTACATCAATTTTTCTTTTCTCAGTCTAGACAATCATGATGGAAAGAGAAAAGGGATAATTTTCCCCTTTTCCCTAAAAGGAGTTTGAATTGCTTCTTCCCTTATCTATAGGGAAGGATCAAATACGTGTGCATAAGTACAACTAAAGTCAAACTTCTAAATTTCAAGTAATTTGAATTTATTGTTTTATGGTATACTTCTCCTGCCTTGGGAGTTCATTCCTATTTGAGGGAACATTTCCATGTGATCCATTTAGATCAGGCCTTTCTAAGGCTTTTCTGGTTCGAAAGATATTAGAGAAATAACTTATAGCAGCTTAAGTGCTTTTATTTTTCAGTGACATTTGTATTTTAATTAAAGATCCACAAACCTTGAATTCTGGAAATTGGTGAGATTAAGCTCAAGGTTCACATTTTATACATGGAAACATGGGGACTCTGAAAGAGTAGGCCCTCATGGTAATCTCTAGAATACAGAAAAATTGGCCCTCATAGTAATTTCTAGAAGACAGAAAAATTTTTTGAGACCAAAGGGCTGACTCTCCAAACAGTGATACTTTAAGCCCTGAGAAGCCAAGAAGGGAGGGGTGTGTGTACGTGTGTATGTGTGTGTGTGTTTTACTTTGTGTGAATGGTGGGGAAGTGGTAAAGCATATAGAGTCTTTTCAAAATGTCATGTATATATTAGTGACAGTTATTGGTGGAATACTTTTTTGACTTAACAAAAATTTGCACAACTGTTTAGTTATAGAATCAGGTAAAACTATAACTTCAGGTCTCATTTCCCAATTCAGTACTTCTCATACCATACCACGTGAACATCTGCTTTTGCTAACAACTCACAATGTCGTTCCTGGAGGCACTACAGTAAAGGACTTCCTTGATTTGCATGTTTTTCACTTTGAAAATTCAATGCTTACATAACCTGGTCTTCCTCTATCCTCCAAACTCATTCCCATGATATGAGAGACTGAGTGATTATCAATTGTTGGTGTCCTTCCTCAGTAACACATTTAGACATGAACACACAAGCAAGTGATCTCTACCTGGGAAGGCGAAGTTGAACCTAAGTTATACAAACTGACTATATTTACAGACTAAATTGTCTAGTGATTCCCTCCCTTCTTTATTGTCACCAGGGTAGCAACAGCTCTGCTGTTTTTTTGCAGCTTTCTTAGACATCATTGACATACAGGAAACTGCACGTTTAAAATATAAAAGTTGATGAGTTTTGACATATGTATACATTCATAAAAGTATCAGCAGAATGAATAATAAATTCATCACCCCCCAAATGTTCCTTATTCCCTGTTATAAGTACATCTCTCCCTTCCACCACCCTTCTTCCTGCTGGCCCCTCCTTCCTTTCTTGACCTCACATAGTAGTATTAAAATGTTCCAATTCAGCAAAGCAGCCAGATTCTCTGGATCTGAGCCAAGAGTGGAAAACTTTCCTTGGGCCTTGCTTCCTTTCTTCTTTGAAAAGAAGCCAGATCCTCTCAAAGATCTTTCTTTGCAGCTCCACCCAAACAACTCCAAGATAAGATCAAGGGCCTTAAGAAAGTTATTGGGAAATTGGAATACTTGAATAAGTTGCAAGGAGGATTCTAAAGTCTGCAAATTACTTGAGGATGAACTGAAGAAATATTTGGGATGAAATCATGCTTCTTAAGGAAACATTAATTTCCTATAATAAAACAATAAATTTTAATAATAATAAAAGAAGAAAATGCTTCATAACCCTAAGTGAACATTGTCAGTCATTTGGTATGTTTTCATTCTTGCCATTTTCCCTGTGAAAAAGAAAAAAGCCTTTATTAAAATCTACTTTGAATGCAACTTTTGAGCTTCAGTGTTTATATTTCTTTTCTCTACATGTCTCCAGCATAAACCACCATACGCAAGTTATAAAAGCTTGTGATTCTATACTTTTCTTAGGTCTCAGAGAATGAATTAGCCTGTATTCTTAGAGGAAGTGGCCACAATATGCTAGTCAAAACAAAAGCTCCATTTTGGTTCTGTTTGCAGATACTAAAGAATCAGAATTTACAAAAATAGAAAAGTGTCTCTTCTTTGAGAGAACAATTGTTTGCAGCAGGATAGAGAAACTCCTGTGAAAATCCAACTGCTGTAGCCAAAGTTATACCTTTTGTGGAGTTGGCACTAAGGATGAGGAAATTAAGTTCTGAGTGTACCTAGACAAGTAACACTTCCCATCTCTCCACTAGATTCGAAGGATCCATTTCAATGCTGATTTTCTATGTTCAGTACTACAGATGACCGGCCAATCAATTAGCATGCTGTGTAGTTCACTTTAAATTGATTGGAGGTGGTGAGTGGAATAGAATTTGTGTGTTTTTCTGGGAGTCAAGAAACCCTAGCATAGTGCCTGACAGAGTAAACACTCAATAAATATTCACTGAATGAGCAGAACTGAGATCTAGTTTTAGATTTTGCTAACAACTTACTGAAAAAAGTCAGTAACTTTTTGAAGGGGAGGGAATTTAAATTGATCTATCCTTGTCACCATCCATCAATATGTAGACCTGGGCTAATAGAAGTGATTTGTTTATCAAAGATACTTAAGCCTTTCTGATCTCTAGCTTCTTAAACTACAAAATAATGGTAGCAATTATTTCATATCTTATGAGGATACTGGATTTAATAATATAGCAGATGTAAAATTGCATTGAAATATATAAAAATATTACTCATGTATAAGGCGTTATTAGTATTATTAGTAGAAGCTTCACACTCACTAACCAGAAAGGCAAGGGAGCTGTAAAACAAAAGGATTAGGCTGCATTCCTAGGTGGTAATTGCCCACTGATTGGTATTTAGGGAGCTGCTGTGTGCAACTTCAGTAGTATAATCATATACAAAATGAAAAGAATGGGATGCTTTGAGTTTGGACCTATCACTAGAGACCAAGGAAGATCATCCTAAATAGCTGGGGGTTCGCATCATCATCCACAATATCCTTGCTATGTCTCTTTGGAAAGTGACTTGATTGCTCACATCTCAGGTTCCCTATTAGTAAAATAGGACAATTGATACCTTCCTCATAAATGTGTTGTGAAGATTATAATTCCAAAAGGTTGGATAAAAAATGGAAAGAATTTTTCCTTAAATCTTTTCAGAACTAGATGAGATGCCCTAAGGAGCAGCCATAGAAAGCCACCTTTTGAGATTTCCATAAGGAAAGGGAGGATACATTCCTTACACCCAACTCAAAGACAGAGTTGTGCTCAAAATTCTAATTTTCTTAAGAACAATGAAAATGTATCTTGTCAAGTTGTACCATGATGATTTTTTTGCAAAATCTTTCCTTTAAACCATCTCAGTTCAAAAGGACTGACAGCCTTGTGTTCAGCCACTTTGATATACAAACAGTATACTGGACCAATACTAAAAGATTTAGACAACCTGGATCACCACAACCTCCTTTCTTAGCCAACTTGTGTGTTTTTAACCTGAAAACTGCAGCTACTTGGATTATAAACCAGTAAACTACATTGACATGATGTGATGTGGGTAAGATTGAACGGGTTGAAAGGTGATGGCAGGTACGGGTTACATTTTCACTGTCTTGTGCTTATGTAAGTCTGACTGGAATGGAAATGGAGAGACAGAGTGGGGGTAGAGTTTATTCTATGAGTTGGAGATGTGCCTTGCTAATGACTCAACCAAGCTGGCTTATTTTGTTTTAGTCTGATTTCATTGTTTTCATAAGATTTTAAAAGGACACTGTAAGTTGAAAGTTCTGAGATAATTGATGCCAGACAAATATGATTGAGAACCAAAATTGTCTTTTTTATTTGTTATTCTTGTTAAGCAGTGACAATGGAATCAGAATCACCTTCTGATAATTTTAAAAACATTTATCTTGTTATAAAATTTATGTTAGTTTTTGAATTAAACACTTGAAAAGGTAGCTAAAGACTGATAAACTTTAGTTTACCTTCTTTTCACTACCTAAAGATAGCATAAAAGAAAACACCTAACATCAAATAACAAACACGAGTACACATACACAAATATGTTTCTGGCAAAATTGTCTTTTACTGTCTATTCATAAACAAGTTTCTGGAATTGCAAGCAGAGTTGCAAGGGCCTGTGATTCTAGCTTTTAATTATATAGCTTACCACTAAGCTTCCTGAGTGACTGACATATAGCACAGCACATGACAGGAGTTTTCTGGGAATAGTTTCTAAAAGTAAGAGTCCTCTAAATTATCTTCAACCCATTGTGCATCCATCTGTTCCAAATGCTGCTTTACAAGGAATTACACCCTGCTCCAACTCCCCTGCAGATAGCTTAGAGACCCAAAGGCACCACAAAAAAAAAAAAAAAAAAAAAAAAAAAAAAGCACTTTAAATTTCTCTTTGCTTTCTTTCATTCGGAGACTATAACCTGCTGTATCTCAATAGGTTGAAATCCACGAACAGCAGATGGTGCGGTGAAAAAAGTGTTAGGCAGTTCCCGAGGACTGATGGAGCCAGAGTCACTTTGCACCGAGCCTCCACTATTCTCAAACTGGGAGATTTTCTTTTTGATCATCTTTCTCTCCTTGGCTCTGCGATTCTGAAACCAGATTTTCACCTGAAACACAATGGGGCAACATACTGAATGCAGTTAACTTAGTGATTTCTGATATTGTACAACGACTTTAGCATTTACAAAGCCCTTTCATATGCATTACCTCATTTGAGCCTCACGTTTGTGAAGTATGCCCACTTAACAGGTTAAATAAAAAAGCTTGAGACTCAGAGAGGGCAAGTACCTTGCATGAAATGAAACTGAGATCCAAGTCTAGGGCTACTAACTGTGAATGCAATAATCTTTGTATTGTAACTTACCTACCTCCTCTGCTGCACAGGTAGAAATAAATGAGGCTAGAATGACAGATGCTGAGGAGTGCTGATAAGAGGGAGATATTTGAATAGCAGAGGTAACTATAATGAGCCATTTCTATGTTTTATTAAATTTTTACTAATGAGAAATTTCCTATTAGTAAAATATTAATAAAATAAGATAGAAAATGTATCTTCCTAGTAGTACACTATTACTAATAGGAAGTTTGTCTTCCTATTAGTAAAATATTAATGACACATATAAATGAATGAACAAGGGTGATTAAATATTATATAACTCTTGCTGGAGACAGATGAGTGTGATAGCAATGTGCCTTCACAAGTGGTTGAAATGCAAGGTACTTGGGATAAGGCAATGCATTAAATGACTTTACAATTCTAGAATTCTGATTCTACTGAAATGGACTTATGGTACATGTTGGATGTACTTCTGGTGTACCTGTCTCTCAGAAAGGCCCAGGTTAACTGCCAGCTCTAATTTTCTCCGGATGGTGATATATCTATTGCAGTGGAATTCCTTTTCCAGCTCCAATCTTTGATGATCAGTATAAACTACACGATATTTTTCTTTTGTCCTGGTTTTACCTGTTAGAGGAGAAAGCATTGAATTTCATCTTTTTCCATTTCTTGGAGATTGTTTTGGTTAAAATCATAGCCACTCTTCCCACCCTTATCTTTACTTTAAAATATAAAATAAGTATATTTGTGAATCAAATAGTCATAAAAGTCAATTTCTCCATTAAATACATTCTCATCTGTGGCTATGATAGCAATATCTGTCTGTCTACCACCTATAGGCATAGACGTATATCTACATATCTATATCTCTCTTTATATATGAAACCAACATCCCTTTAATTAATATTTCTCCTAAAATGATCAGTCAAATCACAATCATCCCATCTTGGCCTATTTTTGTAGCAGAACATTTAAAATGCTTAAACACTTTAACCCATGGCTTTTATAACTGCCCACTTACATATGAGATTAATACTGGCAGTAGTAACAACGTCCATTATACAGGTACTTACCATTACATTTGATGCAGTCTTTTCATATCATTCCTATTAAACCTCTTACCTACCTTCTAGAATTATGCAGAACATGTCTTATCTCCATTTTACAGATAGGAAACATGAAGATCAGTTAGGGTAAATGACTTTGTGCTAGAGAACTGAGGGGTGGGGACCCAAATACTTATCTTTGACTCTTATTTAAGTATGCTAACTAAATGTTATTCCAAGTTAGAGTATGCTGGGAAGCATAATAATGGCCCAAGGGTGGAAAACACTTGTAGGATCCTGACACTACAGTTATGTAATTTCTTACAGTTTGGTTTGGATAGTAATTTTAAAAGAAAACATTAATTGTCATTGAGGCGATTCTCTTTCAGAAAACCTAATTACCTATTAGAAAAAAAATAGTTTTTATGTGAGTCTTAATTTTTATTACCAAGTGGATAGTGAATGGGGGAAGGAGGAGGTGTTGACTTAAGCAGAATAAAGTGAGTATTCCATGCCCTTTGAAAGGATATACAAACATTTGCTTTGTGTTACGACATTTAACTAATTTCTCATGCCCTCCTTCAAATAGAGTTTTATTCCTCCTTACAAATTTTCCAAAGGTACTTAGGAAGTTTCCTTTTCTTTTTAATTTCTCTACCCCCCTCCAGGATCTTCCTCTTTTTCTCTATGGCTTTTAAAAACTCCTTCTGATCTTCCTAGTTGTTTTTGATGTGATTTTTTGGAGGCGATCAGTAGGACAAAGGCTTCTTTAAAGCAGTTCCTTAAACTCCATTGAGGTGTTAAGATGCGGCACAGGCCTAACAAAAGAGTTACATAGCATCAGATCCCATTCTGAACCCTCTTTACATTCAGAAACATCAGCCAATTGGTTCAGAATTTACAAGCCCTAAACAAATGTCAAACACCCTTTCATCTCCAGAAAAGGAATAAAAGGACATGAATGAAGAAATAAATTTAAGATAAGTGATATATTTTAAGATTAAACTAAATGGCTAACTAAACAATGAACTGAACAAAATCTCCTTTCCCTGCCCTTAGAAAAGAAAAATGATGTGCTCCAGTCAATTAACCTACCTTAAACTCCTAAATTTTGAGCTGGTTTTCTGAATCTAAGCAAAAACCTGGAAGCCAGAAGTCTATCTTTTGGCATGTTGCAAAGATACACTGTATATTTAGAGAAAAATAAAAACGTGGAGATTTATTTCTAGAGCCTCGAATCTTGAGATCTAAATATATCTTTGAAATGATGTTTTCTAAAACCCTTCCTAATCTTAAAGTGAGTGTTTAAATTATAACTTGAGGCAGACTGGTTAAAATTTCAACTTGTCTTTATCCATGTTGTATGCTCTTTGATAATCAATAAATATAACCAGACTTCAATAACTCTGGAAAGGTTGTGGTCCTTCCCCACCCACATTGGTCATAAATTCCCCTCTTGCAGTTTCTTCTGAAGACAATAAAGTCAAGACCAGTCCCCTTTATTTGCCATAAAAAATCCTACCCTTTCCGGCAATATAACCCCTAAAGAAAGAAGGAATAAGGAAGAGCCTGGCTGCATATCAAAGCCATGTGAAGTGTTAAAGAGTCTGTTGCCAAAATCTGACAGATAAGACCTAAAACTCCAAGAAGATATGGCTGAGGGGAAAAAAACCAACTGCACAGTTTACAAATAGAAATAAATTTCAATTTCCTGGTGCTCCTTTTGTGTCCCTCTCCTCAAACTGTCTCTCCCAATCCCATTGCCTCTTCTTAAATGATGAAACCAGATAAAGTGATGAAACCAGAATAAATGATGAAGGGGATTTGGATATTTTCTGGCAAAGCATAATGTCCATATTCCCATACCCAAGCACCAAAAATAGCACTAACAGAACTTTTATTGTTCAAGTTGTTCTCTTCTTCCAGAGACTATGACATTTCTGAGGGTGATGGGCTCCATTTTCAGCAATTATTGAGTTTCTTTAGGAAATTAATACTATCGAAGATGTATTTGCCTTCTCCTAAAAGACTAAGAAAAAATTCTGTAGTTTAAGATGGAAGGAGTCCTTCCCATCCTCCCAACCACATTATCTCCAAAGAATTTGCAAGCAAATGTCATCATATGTGATGACTTATCACCTTAAATAAAATTAAAATGGTGTTCATTTGAAAGACTGGCTGCAAAAGTGCTGCTAGGCAGAAAGTCACTCTCCAAACACAGAGGTGATAATGATGATGGCAGTGGATGTAAAGATTATGAAAATGAATATTCTTCTGTAGGGAGTACTGTCTAATTGACCCCACTTTGATGACTTTTCATCTTATGGTAATATTTCACTGTTTTTAGCTAAAAATTGCATCCAAATTTATTTTGAAAAAAGTTGTCCAGTGAAATAAGCAAAACCAAGGAAGAAAATGATAAGTCTCAAGAATTATGAAGCAACTCAGTTTATGAAGTGTCCTAACTGAATGATGCCTTTTAAGCATAACTTCCTTCATGTTGTCCAGTGGCTTAAAACAATCAATAGGAATCAGAATCAATCACAATTACTTTCTCCTCTCTCCCTCTTTTCCACTTCTAACAAGAAAGCCTCTCTCCAGCCTGCTTAGGTTATCATTTTGCCAATGTTTAAAATGTGAAAGTGCATGATAATATTTAACTTTCCATAGAAACTTTTCTCTTATATTCCTTTTTACATAACCTTTAAAGCTAGATATGTATAAAAAGAGATCACTTAGGGAACTAAGTGGAAATAAACGTGTTTACTTTTAAATCAGATCCCCTAAGGAACAGTCATTTACTCTGTATGTCAGCCTCTTTGCTCTCATTAGAAAATAACATGCTATAATGGTTACTATGAAATAATATTTTCTGATTGTCCACTAATACATGTATTTTTCTTTTTTTATGTTTATTTAAAACATTTTTTCAGTAATGGAAATAACTTTCATTTGACTGTCTTAAGCAAAGAAGGGTTACTTCCATATTGAAGTTGATCTTTTCATCTTAGTCATAAACCATATGTTGTCCCACAGCACTATAGAGTGAAGTGAAAAATTTTGGAGAATCTGACTCATTCATTCATTAAGGAAATATTTAACACCCACTATGTGCTAAGCATATAAATGGGTGCATTTTGGTCCTGAGTGGGTGGCCCAGTGAGGTGATCAGCTTAATTTTTTTCGTGCGGTTTATAAACTGATGTCCATGAAAGGGCTTCAATGGATCCATGAAGTTCCTGAAATTATGTAACAAATTACTTGTGTTTGTGTGTGTGTTGCTCTGCCCCTCACCCCCGTCCCTAAGATTAAAGCAGAATGGCCACTTCTCCCGCCCTGGCTCCCAGCAGTCGCCCACTGGCTTGCAGGTTAGGCTGCAATCCCGATAGCTGTGCCTTCCCGCGCGCTGCAGCAGACCTGCATTCAGCCCCTATGCTTGAGAGATGCCTGCTTGGATAGTTACGAGGGTTTTAGCCTTTTATTAGTGCTGGAACTGATTCGTTTGCGTGCCCGGTGGGTGTGAGGTTTAGGTACTCTACTATGTGCCAGGTCAGTGCATTTTTCTAGGGAGATAACCAAAGTTTTTCATTACATTCTTAATTTGTTGCTAAGTATGCACCTTAGACTATAAGAATAGAGCAAAGGGGTAATTTACATTTATAAGACGTTAAAAGTAAACAAAGTTTTAATTTAATGAAGCCTCATCTACAGAATAGGCTGCCAAGAATCGAAAGGGTTCCAATATCATTCAATTTTAAACTTCTCATATAAATTGGAGAGAAAATCTTGTGAAGGGGCATTGTAAAGTCAGTTTTGAGGGTTTAACTAACGATGAAGATGCAAGAGACTAAGGAGCTCCTTTCAAAACATTTTCTGGCATTAGGATTACCCAAGAGAGAGACTCAGGCTAATAAAAGCAAATGTAAATGGAAGATCTTTAAGCAGATAAAACTGTTATATTTTCCCACATAAACAGAAAATTCAAGGCTAGAGGTAATTTCTTTTATCTCATCCATTTACTCTCTTGTTCTCTATTGCAAATCCCATGCCAGTAACTTTCCTCTTAATGTGTTTCAAAACATAATCCTAGACTGCCAGCAACTACTTTTCTAGCTTTTGTGTCTTTTGATGATTGATAGGGTTTAGTGAGTGGATGTTAATTACAACCCCGAGATTAGATGTAATAAAAACTCTGCGCGTGCCCCACCCTAACCTATTTTTCTATCCTACTTAGTCACAGACTCACTTATATTTTTTTAAAGAAACGCAGATTTATTTGCAAACGCTTTAAAGCCAAGTATTTGAACTCTACTTTTACCTTGGGATTGCTACTCTAGTGATGTTCTAATACACAGAACTTCCTCTTTCTGGCTAAAAGTTCTCCTAATGGTAAAAATTGGTCACTTCCCACCCTCTTGCTTTTGCTTTTTGGAGGAAAGAAAAAGTGCAGAACCGAGAACAGAAACATAATCATTGTGGACAAATGCCATTGAAATGCCATTTCCTCCCCAGAGGGATGAAAGTACTAGAGTCGAATTTTACTAATTTTCTCTAACGACAGAGAGAGAGGATTGGAATAATAAGAATGTGATAAAAGAACGACAGCTGAAAACAAACATTCCTCCCCCCGCCCCCGCCCCGGTCTAAGATTAAAGCAAAAGGTCCACTTCCCCTGCCCTGGCTCCCGGCTCCCAGCAGTCGCCTACTGGCTTATTGGTTAGGCTGCGATCACGATCGCTGTGCCTTCCCGCGCGCTGCCGCAGACTTGCATTCAGCCCCTACGCCTAAAAGACGCCCGCCTGGATAGTTATGAGGGTTTTAGCCTTTTATTAGTGCTAGAGCTGATTCGTTTGCGTGGCCGGTGGATGTGAGGGTTAGGTACCGTACTATGTGCCAGGTCAGTGTTGTAGCCTTCTCGCCTGCCTCAACACTTGGGTTAGAAAAAAGGACGTTGTAAGCTGGCAGTGGATTTGAGGCCAATTTGCGTCTGCCAATTTGTAAGAAGGAAGCTGGGGCTTCCCTGAGAGACCAGTATGACGAGGCTGCTTTGCCACCGGGGACTTCGTGGCTAAACTGGAGGGTCCGTTGCCAGCCAAACACTGTGAACCTAAACTGAGCATCATCAGCTTTAGGGGAGGGGAGGAGGAAGACAGTCCACCCAGATAGGTAAGGGTTTGGAAATGGAACCATCAAGCTGTCCTCTGGCTTCATTCACCTGTTGAGCTTTCCCATGCATCTGTTTTCCCATGTGGGCAACTACAGGGTTGGATCCTGATCCTTGTGGCTCAACATACCCATTGTCCACTCACTCGCTTTCTTCATAGAGCAGCGAAAGGCGAAAGGCACCCCTAGGATAGATTTAGTCCCACTCGCTGCACTCTGTAAGTGAGTTTTGAGACCAGGCGAACGCGAGAGGGATACCAGCCACATAGGGGTCTCCTCAGCTAAGCCCTCTTAGGAGAGGCCTGAGAAACAGGACGGCAGGCCAAGCAAGCCAAATAGCAGAGAAAGGAAGGGAGGAAAAGTGTGTGGGCACTGGAATTGATTACTCACCCGTCACCTGCCCTGTCTTGCGCATCCATGCATAGGGGCTGTGGTGGCTCCTGCTGGGGGAACTGGCGTTGGTGGCGCCTGCGTCGGTGGGTACAAGTGACCCGCCAGCCGAGCCTGGTAGACTGCTGCTGCTAGTTCCCCCGCCCGAAGGGACCAAGTTGCTGTAGTCGAGCGAGCAGAAAGTGGCGGGGCTCGAGGTCAGGTCGTTCACCGGCACTGTTCCCGTTGTACTAGACGACCCAGGATACACGTTCCAGTCTTCTCGCGGGGGACTGTAGGGCGAGCCCCAGGCTCCCAGAGTCGACCCATGAGGATCCATGCTGGGCATATTAGGATACCCCATGTAGTGTGAGAAAGCCGATGCCGCAGCGAAATTGGAGGCTGGCATCAGACTCCCACCGTCCCCCGTGCGGCCTGCCTCAGCTGTGCCGCTGTCCGTAGGGCTCCTGAGAGTGCCCGGGTACATGCCTGCTTCTTTCTCCAAAAGGCAGCTTCCGTACATCGTGGCTTGGGTAGAAGGTGCTCCCTAAACCATCCTGAGGTCCCTGTAAGACCTCAACTCGATTTTGAGATAATAAAGAAGCAGCAGATAATAAATTTATCAGTATGTAGTTGTGCCGCAAGCTCCTCTGACCCCTCAGACTACTCCATCTTACGTTTCCAGGTGACTGGTAGCCCTGTATAGATAGGCCACCAATAGCTTGGCTGACGTCAAGGGGCTTCAGGCTTTTACATAACATTTGCATTCAAATGAAGGGCCATTTCACTTTCACAGCAACTTGTTCACTCTCTCCCTAAGCTCCCAGGCCTTTCTGTCTCATCTTTCTTGATTCTGTCCATCTTGTTCCCATAGCATCAATATTATGCTTTTGGGGACAGGAACACTCCTCCAGCGGTTTCTGATCAGCTCCCCTCAAAGTCAGATAGAGACCTGAAGAAGCCGGGCGAAGTTCCGCTCTCTGGAATTCAGTTCTTACACCGCGGCCTTCTCCCTTTCACCGATCTTCCTGCTTCCGACCTGCATCTGCAGCCTCCTTCTGCCCAAATTCTCTCGCAGAGGTTTAAAGCATGACACTGGCCCAAGATGCCAATGGTAAGGGCTTTCCCTTACTCTCCTTACTCCCTCCATCAAGAGGAGGCCTTTGTTTCCAAGGGCAAAGATTCATTTCACAAATATCTGTTAAGCGTCTACTGTGTGCCCGGTACTGTGTAGGCACGGGGATACAGCAGTGAATAAAAGAAAAAAATTCTTGCTCCGCCTTCCTAAAATTACACTGTAGTGGATGGCAGGCTGAGTTAATCGAATGTTTTACAAATATGCACAAATTAAAGAAGGATGAAGAAGGTAGGTTATGAAAAATGGTAGGGGAGAGAGAGAAGAACCATGTAGATAATAAACTTTCATATTTTCGTGTCAATCCACTACTCTTAGACGTCTCTTTCTGCCAGGTATGGCTTCTGTCTGAAATCCGGTGCCTCAAGGGGCCAGAACTCTTGCAGTCTCAAATCCATGGCAGCTGCAGCAGACTTAAAACATTTTCTGTGTAAAACTCAAAATGTTTATGCCAATGAAATCAATATCTCGCCTCAAGAAACCAGGTCACCTGTTGTGTTCCTCCTCTTCACCCAGTACCCCCATTACCTACCACAGCCTTTACTCCAGGCTGCTCCTTATTCAGGAAACGTGCTCCTACACAAAATCCAACATAACCTGGCACCCCCACCCCCATATAGCTAATCCCTCTATGGCTTTGGGAGGTCACTTAACCTTTCTGAGTTTCACAGTTTTTCACTTTTAAAAATAGAGAACCTAATGGTATCTACCTTACAAGCAGGATTTCCTTAGATAATGCAAGCAAACTGCTTAACTTAGTGCTTGGCACACAGTATGGGACCACTGTATTGACTCAACAAATATTTGTTTAGTGCTAGGTGCTGTTCTATGTATGGAGACATCAGTGGTGAACAGATAAAACCTTTGGCTTTATTAAGCATATGTAATAGTAGGGAGAAGCACTGATAAGTAATTAAATGTTATGGTATAGCAGACAATAATTGACTCTACGAAGAAAAAAGCAGGGAAGGAATATACAGGATGCTAGGAGGTGGATGTAGCAATTTTAAATGTGATAGTCTAGGAGAACTTCACTGAGAATTGACATTTAAGTAAAATATGAAAGTTAATGGAGTGAGATATGAGGAGAGATGATTCAGAAGAAGGAAACAAGTGAAAAGAGAATGTTCATCTTCTATCAGAGAAAGTGCAAGGAAGACAGTGTAGTTAAAGACTAGATGAGGTCTAAAAGCTAAAGGGAATAGGCCATTGTAAAAATTCTAGTTTTTTGCTTTGAGGTAGGGAGACATTATAGGATTTAGGGCAGAGGAGTTACATGATTTGAGTTAAATTTTGAACGGCTCCCTCTGGCCATTGGATCAAAAATAGATTGTAAGTAGAATCAGGCAGATTTAAGAAAGGACTTGCAATAATACAGCTGAATGGCAGTGGGGGTGGAAGTAAGTGGTTGGCTTCTGTGTATATTTTGAAACTTCTTCCAGAGAAGAGGGAAAATGAGTAATTGATCAGAACAGACCAATTAAAGTCTTTTACTGGGGAGAAGGGACTAAGAGTCAGGAAAGGAACATACCAATAGGCCCTTTTCACACTTTTTGCACATCATTTTATCTTCACAACAACCTCATGAGTTATTGTCATTCCCATTTTAAAGATGTAGAGTCTGAGCTCGGAGAGGTGGCATGACTATTTAAATGCACATGGCTGGTATGTGGTACAGCTACATTCAAATTCTGGGCCACCATGACTGCAAGGCACATGTTCTTCACTTGGTACCAGGCCGACCGAATACACAAGATCAGGGTTTAGAACTGGAGCTTAGCTTCTATTTTCTTTCTCTGCTCAAGCTTTCAGGCCTGGCATTCAAGTCTTCACGATATAGACCCAATTACTTTGCATTATTCTTTCACCTATTCTATTCTGAGGCAAGCTGTACCATCTGCTTTTTGAAAAGATGTGTCAGAGTGGAAGCACATGAAGGATCTTTAGAAGTTAACTAACCCGACATTATTACCTAAAAGATTAGGAAACTGATTGCTTGAGAGAGGAAGATAATCTTTAAGGAAGTGAACCCAGATCCGTTGACTACCAGATCAGCACTCTTTCCACTAAAAAAATGGTCTTTGCATATGCAGTTCCTTCTACTAGTCTGTCTTTCTCTATAATCTTCTAATTGTGGAAAGAAAAAAATTGTTCAAAATCTCCCGGTTTTTCTTTAAGAGAAGTAGTCTTGCTTGTCATCCATGCTGGAGTGCAGTGGCACTATCACAGCTCACTATAGCCTAGAACTACTGGGCTGAAGCAATTCTTCCATCTCAGCCTTCTGAGTGGCTGGTTACCAATTTACCCAGTGGTCTATCTTCAAGGTTCAGTTCAAATGCACCCTTCTCCTTAAACGTCTATGTATTTATGCTCCTCTCAGAAAACACTCTTCCTCTTCTGTGAATCCCTCATTAATTCCTCTTCCCAATGGACTGATGGTGATTATTTCATCTACCTTAGAGTTATCTGAGATTCTATCTGAATCTTCTGAAATTTGAGCACCTTGAAGGGTCATGGGGAAGTATGTTTGAGCCCATTTGAATAAAACACCCTTATACATGGTAGGGTGTTGGGAAATATTTGTGTACTGAATGAGTAAATGACTTTGGAAATGAGGAAATGACTTTAGGTTGGAAATCACTATTTGATCTAGCTCCAGGGATGTCTGGAAGAGAAGTGAGTAAGAACATTGCCCAGTGCTTGACAGAATTTGACTTCAGGTTTCATCTGGTTTTTGTTTGTGTGTGGTGATGGGGATGAACAGACAGGGAGGTTTAATCCAGTTTATTTAACTGGAATTTTGTATTTCTTTCTTAACCTGAAGATTAACCAGGGGGGTGGCTTCCCTGCAGTGATCTTACTGCCACTAGGGAGTGGTCTCTTAGTTTTTCTGAGACTTAGAGGCAGGCATTAAATAGGGCATCTGTTAGACTCTGGGCTGACCTCCACTGATCAGGTTTGTTTTAAGGCTTGAGGGAGATAATTAATGTGAAATTACTTTGCAAACAATGAAGTCCACCTGTGATGAACTATGGAGATCTGGGTAAACCTTTTCTTTGACAGCCTTAATGCTTTGGGAGAATCTGACTGCCTGGTAAATATTCTATAAGCCTGGACTGGCTTCTCAATTTTGTGATAGTAGTCAAAGTCTACTCTCCATCCTATGACACCCCTCCCTAACCTCTTTCCACAACCCTGGCTCAGATTCAGGCCTGATGTGGATCTCAGTGCTATGGAACTTAGCTTCAGTCATCAATCATTGGGCCTTCCTACTACTGGGAGGGAGATGATAAATGCAGAGTTTAAGTTCTTCTTTGATTGTGTGGTAACTGAAGATGAGAGTAGGGCAGGGTCTTACCCAAGGCACACACTATTAGGTGATCTGTGGAACTGCGATCTAAACCCAAGCATGTCTGACTATAGACCTCTGCAAGGCATCCCACCGCTCTTGGCCTCAGTTTTCAACTCACAAAAAATGGGGCAGAAAATAAAGACCATTCTTTAAGAACGTTGGGAGGATTAAGTGCACCAGTAGTATGCTCAATAAATGGCCATTATTATTGTCATCTGGAGAGTGGCTGGGACTCCACAGGGTATGGGCCTACTGTTCCTCTTCTGGTCCACATCCATGCATGGAAAATGATTAGTAATTGGGGTGACAGCCCAGAGCAATTTGAACATGATGCTTGTTGCCTCTCCATTCTAGCTTTACACTTTGGGCTCTAAACATATCCCCCATTCACTCTCCCCCTCCTATCTCCCTCCTCAATCCCTTTGTAACCTTAGCAACACTGGTGCCTGAGTTTCTGGAAGGACAGAAATCTCAAGCCCTTTCCATCCACCTTCATGATCACTGTGATGGGCTTTTGCACTTCCGTGACTAGATTTTCTGGGAAATGATCAACATGAGACTCTGGGCTTGCCCTAAAGCATCACAGTTGAGGCAGGACTTAGGTATGTTTTGGAGAAAAATTAAGGTTCTTTTGTGGGAACATGAGTAGTTACAGCAAGTGCCAACTGGAGTGGTGGAGGACCAGGGTTCTATACCCACCTTGTCACTGGATGTAGCTACCTGGTTGTGGATTAGAGTAAAAAGAATGAGAAAGGCCCAGAGCTCTGAGATAAAGCCAAAGGTCAAAGTAGTGAAGAAACAGGCTTCTTTGGCATTCAAGTAAGGCTCAATTCTGGGAAAGAGAAGGTGTATATGAGGAGGCAATAGGGCTCAATGACTAATGCCAAGAACCCAGACTTGGAAGGGATGTGTACGAGAAGGATTTTGCAGAAAAAAAGAGAGAAAAGAAAGATGGAGAGAGAAAATAAAGATAGGCCAATGAAGAATGAGGAGATAGTGCAAACTGAACACTTTAGCCATGGTAGGGGAGTCTCAAACTAACAATCTGAGAGGACAAAGGATGCCAATTCTCTAAACTAAAAAGATAAGTGCAAATCGTGGCTGTCTGCTTGAGAAAGAAAACCAGAAGACTAGTTCACAGAGCAGGTACTTTAGGCTACAACCTGTGCTGAGTCCTTGCTGTTGCAAACTCCCATCAGGCTCACTATAATCAAAGGGAGTAGATGGGATCA